GTCTGTTATTATATAGGTCTGGAGCATAGAAAACAATTAAAATCAATTGTAGTGGTAGTTGTATTTTATTAGCATGGCTACAGAGATGCTGCTATCAATAATACAAATAATAGTAATATCAGTGTATATATACACAGTAGTAAAATGTAACACACACATTAATACAGGATCCTAACGTTATTCATCCTCCTCTGGATGGTGCTGTGAACCCAGACACGTCGGCATTTGGCTTTCCATTGTATTTGGGACTTTTTGAAAATAGGTACAAAACAGCGAGGTACAAAACAGTGATTGTAGTTGATTGTTGTTGATTGTTTTTATTCGCGCGAGTGACACGAAAAACATCCCGCGAGTAATCTAGAGCGAGTGGCGCGATGCGCATATTCGCTTCGCGTCTGGTGTGAACAAAGTCTTAGATCTTGAGTTCAGCTCATGAAAAAATGGGGGCAAAACAAAAGTGTTGCGTTTATAATTTTGTTCAGTGTAAATATGTTAAGTAGAATACATATATGTAGTTAATATGAAATTTATATTTCAGCTTAAATATATTTTATTATATACAGAGGAGTAAGAAAAGCTGTGATGTAATTCGGGCTGTGAGGTTTCTCTGAATAACAATGTAGATATACGTGTATGTACAGCTGCATTAAATGTATTTCTTGTGTTTGAACTGGTTTTGAGGATGGCTTTTCTCAAGAAAAATAGAGACTGTCGCGTGTTTGCTGAGAGTGACGAAAGGTTCTGTGCAAAGCCCTTATATGGCGATTGTTTTGGGTTTGTTTTATGCAAATGACTAACTTTATGCACACAACCGCTTATTTAGTATACTCCAACATTAGTACATGGTTAAAAACAAAGTCATGTGCGTACACGTGTTGTGAACTGAGACCTGTTGTTTTTGTGAAGATGATGATGACGACATTCAGTCTTTGTTATGCAATATAAAACAATGGCTGCAGGTGATATTGATCATATGAGATCTGTGATTTCATGATCATGTACTAAATTTTGACAGGTACAAAGCAGTGGTGCATCAGTGTCAGGTGTGCAAGAAAGAGTTCAGGGGGAAGACCAACCTCATGTCGCATTTCAGAACACATTCAGGTATTGAACAATACCATTCAAAAGATTTTTTGTGAAAGAAATGAATACTTTTATTTAAATGATTGAAAGTGACAGTAAAGACTTTATGAAAGATTTATGTTTCAAATAAATGCTGTTCTTTTGAACTTTCTATTCATCAAAGAATGTATCATGGTTTCCACAAAAATATTACTTAGAATAAATATTAGAATGCACATTAGAATGATTTCTGAAGAATCATGTGACACTGAAGACTGGAGCAATGATGCTGAAAATTCAGCTTTGCATCACACTTTGCATTACATTTTAAAATGGATTCACATAGAGAACGGTTTAAATTGTAATATTTCACAATATTACTGTTTTACCATATTTTTGATCAGTCTTAGTGACACCAAACTATTAAATGAAATCAACAAAAAAAATTGACAATAAAAAATGTAACTAATAGATATCACCATACTTCCCTAGTTGACTGATTACATTAAGAATTGAAAACATTTTTCGTATCACAAGTTTTCTGAAATGGTATGTTTAAATCTAATTATACAGGTGCATCTCAATAAATTAGAATGTCATGGAAAAGTTCATTTATTTCAGTAATTCAAGTCAAATTGTGAAACTCGTGTATTAAATAAATTCAATGCACACAGACTGAAGTAGTTTAAGTCTTTGGTTCTTTTAATTGTGATGATTTTGGCTCACATTTAACAAAAACCCACCAATTCACTATCTCAACAAATTAGAATACTTCATAAGACCAATAAAAAAAAACATTTTTAGTGAATTGTTGGCCTTCTGGAAAGTATGTTCATTTACTGTACATGTACTCAATACTTGGTAGGGGCTCCTTTTGCTTTAATTACTGCCTCAATTCGACGTGGCATGGAGGTGATCAGTTTGTGGCACTGCTGAGGTGGTATGGAAGCCCAGGTTTCTTTGACAGTGGCCTTCAGCTCATCTGCAGTTTTTGGTCTCTTGTTTCTCATTTTCCTCTTGACAATACCCCATAGATTCTCTATAGGGTTCAGGTCTGGTGAGTTTGCTGGCCAGTCAGTTTTGAGTTGATTAGCTGATTGGTATGTCACCATATTCTAATTTGTTGAGATTGTGAATTGGTGGGTTTTTGTTAAATGTGAGCCAAAATCATCACAATTAAAAGAACCAAAGACTTAAACTACTTCAGTCTGTGTGCACTGAATTTATTTAATACACAAGTTTCATAATTTGAGTTGAATTACTGAAATAAATGAACTTTTCCACGACATTCTAATTTATTGAGATGCACCTGTAGATGTACTCATTTGCATAAATTTCCAGAACAGAAATTGGATAAAGCCAGGTTCAAAATTTGTGTTTAATTTTCTTGACATATTAGAGTCTAAGGTTCTTACAGAGGAGATTTTCGATATCTCTTTATGACACTCCTTAAATCAGAAAATACTGTCAGCAGCCAGAATTTTTTTAAATAATAAAATATTGTGTAAAATCAGAAATTGTAATTGAAATCTACAGAATGCAAATAGATAAAGTGTAATAAAATAACATTTCATAAAATAGACAAATAGACCAATGCATGAATTAAGGGGCAGTAATATTATAATGAGATCCCTTTGCCACGTCACCAAGGGAGCGAAATCTGACGCGCTCGTTTTCTCAGACGCTTGCAGAAAAAGGCTTCCCAAAACAAAGTTACTGGGTTAATCATTTTCACGTTTCCTTGGTTGGTAGATGCACTGGGGACCTGATTATAGCACTTAAAACCTGGAAAAGTCAGATTTTCATGATATGTCACCTTTAAGGGCAGATTATGGCATTTCTGCTCCACAGCTTTTTTCCTGATCCAGTATTTTGCTCTGCTCAGGTGAGAAACCCCACCGGTGTGTGATCTGCAACCAGACCTTCCGCATCAAGAAGACTTTGACCAAGCACATGGTCATTCACTCAGATGTACGTCCTTTCAACTGCCCGCACTGCAGTGCTACCTTCAAGCGTAAGGACAAGCTCAAGTATCACGTGGACCATGTGCACAGCGGCCGCCCGCTCGAGCAGCAACAGCCGAACCTGCCTGCGTCCCCCGCTAGCAAGCTCACCGAGCCGCTTCTGTCAAACGAAACGCCCAAACCGTACCACAACACACCTAAGACTGTGCTGCAGAGTGTGGCGGCTGATGTTTGCGTCCCTGTGACGCTCATCCCCGTCCAGATGACTGAGGAAAGCGGTCTTGCTGTGCACAGGACGCCACATGGGGTCCTTTCAGCTGTGAGCCAGCAACAACAGACAGGCTACCAGTCCGCCACTGACCTAGTGTTCTTAGAAAAGTACACCCTCACGCCTCAGCCGACCAACATCGTGCACCCGGTGCGGCCCGACCAGATGCTGGACCCTCGAGAGCAGTCTTACTTGGGAACGCTACTGGGACTGGACTCGACTACATCTGTGCAAAACATGTCTAGTGCTGAACATACTCATTAATTCAAAGCACATCAATGCTATTATGTACAAGCATGCGTCTGTGTTTGTTACGTGAATACATTTTGGTCATTAGTCTCTTTGTGCTGTTCTTAAAGGGTTAGTTCACCCAAAAATTTAAATTGTCATTAATTACTCACCCTCGTGTTGTTCGAAACCCGTAATACCTTCGTTCATCTTCAGAACACAATTTAAGATATTTTTGATGAAATATGGGGGCTCTCTGACCCTCCCACAGACGGCAAAAGTACCAAGATGATCGACAGAGTAGTCCGTGTGACATCAGTGGTTCAACTGTAAAGTTACGAAGCTACGAAAATACTTTTTTGTGCAAAGAAAAAAAAAAAAACGCCGCCACACGCTCGCGTCATCGTACTGTCGTGAACGCGCATCCAAAGTGACGCAGTAGAGACGAAAATGTGGAATAAAGTCGTTATTTTTGTTTTCTTTACAACGGGTTTGGAACGACACGAGGGTGAGTAATTAATGACAGAATTTTCATTTTTGGGTGAATTAACCCTTTAAAGGCATAGTTCACTCTAAAATGCTGCACTTTGGTTCTACAGAAATTCATTTTTGTAATTCAAAGCAAAAAACAGTTTGAAAGGACATGAATGGGAATAAATACAGAATTTTAATTTTAAAACTATTGCTTTAATATCTAAGGGAAAACAGTTAATAATGAAATTATGATTGAACTTTGACTGTAAATGGAATGTGTGTGTACATTTCTAATAATTCTATCCTGTATAACCCGTGTGTTCAGATAGCTGACAGATGGAAATAACCTGCGGTTGGTGTGTGAATAGTTTCAGAAACATCTGAATTCACCACCCCAGACCAAAGTTTGCTTGCATTTCTGTAAATAAAGCACTCTGGAACACTGAGTTCAGGAAGTTATGTCATGGGCTTCTTTATTTATTTTGTCCGGCTGTTCAGTCACATGGTGGGATGTTGGGGAAAAAAAGTCTTAGACATAACAATTTAAACTTTCTTAGAGAAACAGCCAAAAAGTAAAATGAAATTCTGATAGCTTGTAATGTAAATCAATGAGATCTTTGTAACAGTATAACAGACTACTTATAAAAAATGCATAATGTCAGATGTCACTCTATATCTCCCAATAATATGTCTTAGTAAGATGATAATTAATGCATAATTGCTTTATTTGTGGCGGGCGAAACACATAATTGCTGTGCAATATATATTTCTGATTAAGAGATGAACAAATAAACATTGCTCAAAGCCTGATGTATGACATTTAATATTTGGCTTTCTAAATAATGATACATGGATAATTAAGTAAACCGAAGTTGCTTCAGTCCAGTAAGTGTTCGTCTTTAAATATAACATATCAACAGAAGTCATTTAGTAGATTGTGTACAACAGGTTTTTCGATCATGTTGATAATTTAGAGGCCCAAGAACTATGATACAGTACGCTTTATAGGGTTAAAGATGATTTTATTAACATAGCAGTTTTGTTCTTTTGTCTTTCTGCAATTATTTAGTTGTATATCAGCATTTCCTACATAGTTTTCGACATATTGATGTATCTGTTCATTTAGAATTAATTTTGCACAGCAAACCAGCTCGAACAAATGGACAGCTAAATCTGACTGTGATACAAAACAGAATAAACTGAGCAATTCCAAGAGGGTTAATAAATGGTGGATAGAGCTGTACAGTAAGGTCAGCAGTAGACCAGAGCTAAAGTGGTACAATATTTGGCCATTTCATTTGATGTGTCACACTGCCTCCCTGTGGTCAGACACCAACAGCTCTTACATTCAACACTGTTTAGATCAGGGGTTCTCTACTTTTTTGATTTGAAGCAAGGAAGCAACCTTAATTCATTTAAAGGTGTCATATGATGCGATTTAAATTTTTCCTTTCTCTTTGGAGTGTTACAAGCTCTTGGTGCATAAAGAAGATCTGTAAAGTTGCAAAGACTAAAGTCTCAAATCCAAAGAGATATTCTTTATAAAAGTTAAAGAGGCAGCCACGCCTACCTAAAACAGCTCGTTCTAACACCCCCCACATGTCTACATCACGATGTGGGAAGATTTGCATAATGCCGCCCAAATGTTCACGCAAAGAAGGCGTAACTTTTATTCTCGCTGTAGTATTGTTGCCGCCGCCATGTCGTGAAGACGCTGTGTGCTTCGTTGTGAAAGCGAAACTACTTTGTTTGGTCTTCCAAAAGAGGACGATATC